AGAGCCTTTACTACATGAAAATGAAAATTAATGAATACACTGTGTACAGTAATTTACCTGATAAGACAGACCTCAGAAAAATACTTTATGAGAGCTTTTATACTTTTATAAAGCTGTCTATAATGAAAATTAATTAACTAAGGATTTTTTTGCCCTGCCAGGGTGTGGCCGAGTTATCCGGAGTGCCGGGTTATCGAGAGCCGAGTTTTAGAGGTTCTACTGTATTAATGGTAGAAAATTGGTTCAAACTCAAAGTATCTTATTTTCATTTAGAATTTTAAGTTTCTGAAGTTAGAAATCAATTTTATATTATTACAGTTTTATTTATTCCTTGAACAATATAAAAACTTATTTTTTAAATTTATTAATATTTTCAGACTACTGATTTTTAGAAATTTATTGTTTTTATAATTTTATGTTCAACTTTGTTTTAACTTTACAATTTCTTTATTTATAAGGATGCATTCTTCAAAAAATTTGAATAAAATATTAAATATATCTTACAACAATATAGTGGTATACAGTAGGGTGTCAATTATCTGAAATAATTGAGGTGAGACACAGTTTCAGATAAAATATTAATTTTAATTCTAGTAAAAAAATGAAAAAAGATTAATGCATATTCTATGTATTAATTTCATACATATGAATGATTAGAAATAATAATAAATTAGATAATTTATTAAAAATAAGCACTAGTCTTCCCTTGCAATCTACAATGTACTAATGAAATTTTGAATTTGAAATAAAAAATACATAATAGTAAAATTAATAATGAGATAGCTCAATTGAGGGACTATAGAAGATCATTGGCAATCATTATTATATAAAAGTTTCATAATTTCTGAAATGAACACAATCTAAAGTCAATTACAGTTAATTGCATTTTTGGATAATCGATGCTCTGTTATTCTTATTACTTACATAACCATTTTATTTTGTTTAATATTTATCATAAAATAAGCTTTTGAAGTACTGTATATTTTTGATCTTTATTCCTCAAGAATAACTATGAAAAAATCTAGAAACTTTTTATTGTGTTTTTGAAAAAGTTCTAAATGAAAATAAAATACATACTTTTAAGTACTTTTATATTAACTATGAAGCACAATTAGAATTGATTAAAAAAATTACATTTTACAATTAAATTTCTGTTTGTTAGTTTGTAATTAATATATTTCAAGTTATTTTGTTTGTTATTAGTATATTATGAGATTATCTCCTTAATTCAGTTTTATTGATTAAAGTTTCCATTATTCAGGATGGCAACTTAAGAGTTATAATTAAAAATATCAGAAAAGTAATTATCTGACTTATTATATTTTGTATAAAAGATCCCTGATTTTGTGTAATGTAATGTTTATCAAAAAAACATTATAGTTAATATAATATAATGTATTATTTTCAGTTGGATGGGGCAAGGATCAAGCTAATCGGGGTTTTGGTGATGAGCAAGGAATAAAATATCAGTTGATTAATCTTATTCATTCAGTTCGTACTGTAATGAGGAGTAAGTATTTCTTCTGTTTAATTTAACTGTATTAAATTAAGTATTTATAAAATATTGTTGATTTGATATCAGGTTATAAAAGTGAAATTTAGACATTTTGAAAAAAGAAACTTTATTGACAATTAACTCAACAATTATAGTTCACTCTGGTAGATAATCACCATCAACGTCAATCACAATGCTAAGTTTGTTGCTAACTTTCAATCCCATAGAATGACTAGGGTTTTTCTTTGAAGAAGGTTTTGAGTGTCGGGTATTGTCATATTGACATTGAGCTATATATTGGCAATATGGTTCTGTAGGGCATGAAATACATGATAATCAGTTGGTACTAAGTCTGGGCTATAACATGGATGAGGCAGAACTTTCCAGACCAGACTGGCCAGCTTCTCTAAGATCATCTTTGCTCTATGTGTTGGTATGTTGTTGTGATGGTATTGGACTTTGTCAATTTTTGGATGAAGTTTTTTTGATCTTGGCATTCAACCAATCCAGTTATTCACAATAGAGTTCTTTTGTGACAGTGATGTTAGTATTTGTTTGCCATCACAATGATGCCAAACAAATGCAAATCATTACCTTATTCTGCACTGTCAGCTCTTTGACATTTGCAACAGATGGTTGACCTTTGTTCACTCATGAATGCTTTAAGAAATGCTTTGCAGATTAGATTGTGAGCCTTCATTGTGTTGTGGCCATAGAACAATAGCATGTGAATATGTTCTTTTGAAAGTTTCATATTGTCAGATATCGCTGATGTATCTACTCCAATAAAATATGTGATGCCCTTTGGTTACTCAACTTATGTCCACATTAAATGTTCAAAACATTTTTTCCATTCATTTCTAGAAAAAAATCAAAATGTTTAAATTTCACCTTTATGTGACTTTTTCTGTTCTAAATAATGTTATCATCATTGATCACAAACAACCATACAAATTATAGATAAAATAAATAACAATTAATAATGTATGATTATGAAAGCAGTTTGTATTTCTGTTGGAATTAATAAACCATTGATATTGATATCTTTATAATTATTTTTTCCTATTTCACTCTTAAATATATACAAATTAAAATCTTCAGATAGCTATTAACCTGTCAGAAAAAATTTATTTATTTTTTTAGATGTATTAATGTCTACATTTTACTAATAATTACATAATAATATAAATAGTGATAAATTAAAAAATACTACTACTATTTTCTCAATAAGCAAATTAGGTAAATTAGTAATGTTTTTCAATTAAAAAATAATTATTACAATGAATATTGACCTTTAAAATGATTGGAATGTTTATTCTTAATAATAATATATTAGTCATTTTTTATGACATTATGGAAGTTACAAGATCTGTTATTTATCATTAAATGCATACAAGACTATGTACATGGATGTGTGATAGTTTAACCCTCATTTGAGAAGTATAAAAAAATAATACAAGAAAAAATGCCTGTAACTTATATTGTAAAAATTAATAATGTACATTATGAAAAATAATGTATTTTTTTAAACCCCATGTTGCACATGAACCTGTATGCATATGATGTTCTTCAGTTGTTTATCTATTTGTATTATGTTATGTATGTTGATATCATAGGATTGTAATTATTTATAATTTTTGAATGAATGTAGGTAATTTTAATATTATTATATTAACATTTATTTATGTTTAAATCAATCATTTAAGCTTATTGCTATAATCGAATAGCTTAAATAGAAGTAATTTTATTATATTAAATTGAATGAGAAATTTTATATTTCTTTATTAAAAATTTCTTAAAGATTTTTAAAAGTATTTTCATTTTTATTTCAGTACCTCTGATATTTTTTAATATCCTCACCATTATATTCAAGCTTATCCTTGGTTAAATATTGAAGATGAAGGTTTAATAAACATTTATAAGTAATTATGGCCATTTTTATGATGATTTATTATTATTCATAATTTAAGTGATTTTTATGTGTTTATTTTTGTACATAACAACTGATAAAGTTTAAAACAACTGTACATAAAATTAAATTTCTAATAATTTTCTATGAAGATGATCATATTTTCTTACCTTTTAATACTGAATATTAAATGTTTTTCACAATTGAAATGATTTTTAAATTTTCTCTCCTGATTTTTGATGAATAATTTTTTTTAATTTGAGTAAAATTCACATTTAATAAGCTATTACATAACAAAAATATTTCATTATTATAATGAAATCCTGTTTCAGTAACAAAGGATTTTTTTAACTTTTAGGTAACATTACTGTGCATTAAATATAAAACTGATAGTTCTTTCATTATATTAATTTTGAGAGAGATTTAATTAGAGAGTAACTAGTGAGCAAATCATTTACATATTATTTCTTATAATCATATGGCTTATTATTTATATTACTAATATAATAACTGTTATATATGTTATATGTGTTTCCTTATAAATCCTGCAATTTTTGTCCAGTACAGATGAAATTTTGGTTATATTCATTTTATGCTCTGACAGAAAGTATAGGCTACTTATTTTGCAGAAATATTAGCTATAGAACAAACATTTTATAGATTTTTAGATCGGTGATCTCAGTGACTATGACACCAATGCTCGACGACATGATTTCCCTTAAGTTACATTTTTAAATATTTTGACAAATGGCATATTTTAAACTTATTTCATTAAATTTAAACTTAAAAATGATAGTCACATTGTGTCACTCCAATAATACATTTTTTTAGAAACCTTTTCATAGTGACCATGTGACATTCTATTATCCAATTGAAAGTAACAATCTAATGAGCCTCTTAGTTATTATTGCTCGTCTAACATACATACAATTTATCTTTGTTTTATCAATGTGGAATTAAGAAATGGCTTTGTCAAGGGCTACAGAAACAGCATCACAATGTCAATCATCAAAACAATATTTAGGTGTCTATTACTAAAGGAAGACAGCAAGAAAATCTTTTAAAAGACAATAGAGTGTTTACTCAGAATGTAGTGTATAAAGTAATTTTATAAAATAAGATTTTAATATAAAGGCCTAAATCTGTTTATGTGCGCATACGTGAATTCACTATAACTCCTATTATTTTTGTCCACTCCAGGTGAAATTTTGTTTTATTGCTCTTTATGTTACAACAGACAGTATAAACTACTTGATTTGTAGAAATATTAACAACTCTTGAATTTCTTGAAATCTCTACTCTTCTCAATTCTTCAATCTCTACTTTCTCATAAAAAGTATTCCGTTATGCTTGACAGAGGAATTTCTAGTTATTTATATTTATGTTTAGACTAATTAGTTGGGATAAATTATGCATTAGGATGAATTTTGTTTTTATTTTCCTGAATACTTTTTTGAAAATAAAAATGTGGTTCATATAAAGTAAATTGCGCAATTTACAGTTCCTTTACAAAATTATTTTAAACTAACTCATTATGAGTTAATGAATTCATTCTTTCTTACATCAAATGATCAGTTGCTCAAAATGTGAAATTGAGATCTACTTATGAAATTACACAAGTTTACTAGCCTCCAAATGTAAAGAGTTGTGGGCTAGCTGTGATGTGCAAAAATGTTGCTAGCCATTTAATCTTAATGAGCTGGTGCCAGTTGGTCAATGAATCATCTTCAGAAATTTGTTTGTATATAGTATTTTTCATAATTTGTGTTTACATTTATTTTTTTCTGTGTTAATTTAGAAACATTTTGATTTGCTGCTATAAATTTTACTGTATACAATTGATAAAATATTTTAAGTTAGAATTGCATTTTATATATAGTATTTGTAGATTTTTACTGTCACATTTAAAAGATTATTTTACAGATTTTATTGTTACTTATTGATAATAGTTGACATATTTTAGGCCTATAGTTTAAATACAAATATAACATACATTCAACTCTGAATGTTAAGGAAAAAATGTAATCATTCTGTTTTGCACAATTAATAAATACAGTATTTTTATTTATAGCAGCATAAAATATTTTATTTACAGATAGCATGTTTAAATGAATTATTATATGAATTTTATTTTGTTATTTCATTTTCATCATAAATTTCATCAACTAATGTAAACAATTGTAATGAAATTATAAAATCAGTGGTTTCATTTTGACAACAGGTCTTTGTTTTTTAAAAGCTAGACAGGTCACATTTTGTAGTGTTTTATGTATTGGATAATCCAGTTCTCAAAAGTTCTCAATGAGGTTAAAATCAGTTCTAAACCAGCTAATTCAATTTTTGAATGTTCATATCCTTATACAGGTATACCTCGCCTTATGTCGGTAATTGGTTCTAGGAGAGACGACTTAAGTCGATAAATGACGTAAGTCAAATTTACTTGTCAGTAGGCTAAACCACAAATAACCATTCCCAGTTTTGTATTTTATTTATAAATGAATTTTTAATAATATATGGTTAATAAGAATCTATTTTAAGCTTACAAACAAACAAATTTTAGTTTTTAATATAGTGCAGAAAAAAGTAATCTANGTCATCAAAGTTTCACTTTAGGAACATATCTGAAGTCAAAAACAAACCGCAGAAAGATTCTTGTAGAGCTCGCCGACACGCATAATGAGACACGAATCCACCTGCCCTATCTCTATCCGAGGTAGCACGAATATTTAATAAATAATTATCTTTTTCAATACTTTTGAAATCCGGAGCGCCCGGACCATGCAAACTTAAAGTAGGTTCCACATAAGTGTAAATGTTTTCGTTAGCTTTAGGAAGGGGAAGAAATAAATTCTGATTCATTTTAATTCCGGAAGAAAACTTAACGTGTTCTCGAGGCGGAGGTTTTGATCTATTAACTCCAGATGCATTCTCCGTTTCCGACAGAGAGCCGTGACTGGCCAAAATCTGACCCGCGGGCAGATCGGAAAACATCAAGTCGTCAATCAGAGCTTCCTTCTTCATCAGTCTCGACCTCTTAATTTCCCTCTCTTCTTCCGATAACTGCTGCCGACGCCACTCTTTCTCGTTGCTTTCCAATTCTAGGTACTCGTCTATTTCTTCTTCGTCTTTGCTTAACTTATTCTTTCTTTTCATTATGATATTTTTGTTTTCTTTTTTATATTGTTCTATCTTTCTTTTTGTAGCTTCTATATTTATGTTGTTAGACAGATTAAATATGATAGTTTCAACTTCTTCTAGATAGTCATTATATTCTCTCAAGTTAGAGAAGTCTTCCTCCTTTTTATTGAAATCTTTCAATATTCGTTTTCTTATATCCAATTCTTTTTCGACGGAAGCATCCTCGAATATCTGTAATCTGAACTGATTCCTGCGAAGTGGCACTTCGCATTGTGGACACGATCCCGAACCTTTGACAAATAGCAATTCAACACAATTTTCACATAAACCATGACCGCAAATATTCACTAGAAGTTTCAAAGAAGGATTACGATACTTAGTAGTCTTGCAACGTGGACAAGCAATATCATCCATAACAATATATAAATTACACTTTGTTACACGTGATTCGTCTATCCGAAAGCGTGTAATACAATGTCGTAAGTGTTGCCATCCTCGTATCAATATTACGGTTTAAAACCAAAATTAAATTGATAAATTAAAGATTTATAAATATTTTATAAAAAAGATACACGTTTTTGAAATAATAATACAGATTAATTATTTATCGGTAATTAATATCGCTAAAATTAAATTGAGATTTTATTCTTGTAACAAAGTCGGGGTTGAGCGGGAGCGTGAGCGTGCTTCTTCTTCGGTCTTTCAAATCTGGGCAAAACTTTAGAAACTGCAATTCGCATCTCTTTTTTAACGTTCAGTTGTAATCTGTATTTAGTTTTGATGCTGAAAATTCTGTCTCACCTAAGTAAAATGATGCAAAAGGAATCAAAACTAGTAGGGTTAAAAATAAGGAAAATCTAATTGCGATCTGTACAAGACCACGTAATGGTGAATGATGAGCAGTCAAATGACTGGAAGCGATTTGACTCCATTGAAATATACGGTTACTGAACCTCCTGTGCGCCGGCCGGATGGCGTTCTTTTTTTCATTTTTGACTTTCTGTCCTATTGTCACTAAAAGAGACTTTTTTTGGCTTATAGAGGATTCGGTCTAGGGTTGCCATAAGTTCAAAACCAGAAATCGGGACGTTGTGATAAATATTGATAGGTACCCGACATTACATAGGTAGCAATTGTCTAATCTGTGATAGGTAGTAACTACATGCACGAGACCTATCGCCTACCATTCTTATTTGAGTTTTTAAAAATACAAATCGGAGTTTCGATTAGAAATGAACAAACCGGGACACATTTACAATGGGACTATCCCGAAAAACCAAGAGTCTTAGCAATTCTAATTCGGCCAGACCCACAGTGGGGCGGAACCAAGGTATATTCTAGGACCTTAGTGCAGTACAGGACCCGATATATTTAGGCAAAAACTTCTTGAAATTTTTCCGACCCGTCCGGATTCGTTATTGGATCCTTCAGAGCGGTAAGCTACCACCTCGACCGCTCGGCCATCAGGCCTCTAAATTATGCTATAAAAACTATAATATCGATGATAGCCGATGACACACGGTTTTCTCAATCTAAAGAAATTTTTATAAATATTTTATCGTTTATGCCGTTTATGGCAACAATTTTGAATTTTGTCTTCAGATCTCCACGTTATTCTATTTAACAGAGGGCGCTTTTGGTACGGGACGGTTTGTTAAGATTTGTCATTATGGCTTTAACGCTTTATAATTTATTTGAAGCGATATTGTTATGTGTAAATGCAATTGCTGTTCTTCACGAAGAACGTTTTTTAGCCAAAGGTAAGCAGAATTATTGGTTAATGTTTACAATTAGAAAATTATATATGTAAAATGTAGAATGTGAATGATAAAAAGCAAAACCACAAGTCCCTGTTTGATATGGGCTTAACTGGAATTGTATTCATGTAAATTGTATTTTTAAACCAACTTCTACTTATATGAATAAAATTGTTTGTTGATATTTTATACCACCAATGTAAATACTGTACTGTATATTAGGTCATTTATATACACACAAGGTACTGTACCTAAAGAACTACCATATATTTTTTTGTGACAATTGACTTGAGCATACTAAATATCAATCAGATTAAGGTCTGGTTGATATTTAATATCACACCCACGTTCTAAGCTAAACTAAAAGGATTCACATTCTAACCTAACCTAACCTAGTTAAAGGACCCACTGTGCGGCCATGATTAGTGTTACCACCCGGACAGTCTGGGAATTGTCTCACTGTTCGGGTGAACTATTGATTTTGTCTGGGAATTTTGTAGAAATTGTGAAATTATGATGTTCTTACAAATATTTTTACAAATTTACACTATTTTAATAGTGAAAGAACTCATACTCACAACTCGTCTGCAATTCTGCCATGTTAGTCTGTTTATGCCAATATGTGGCTCGCAACCCCTGTTGATCTTTTGTTTTTTTTTTTTTTTTCTATGCACGATCATACACGTCTCAAATAAAGCTAAGTTATCTGTACCCATTCTTTCTTAATTTAGGTTACTTACGTTACCCTACACAAGTCCCAAACTGTAGCTAATTTAGGACCGGCATGCACGTTATTCTTCGCATTGTAAAATGACATTGCGCATGCATCAGGAACTTCTGTTCGAACAAACCTGACATGCCATCCGGGTCAGCGATTTTCAAAAGGTGACAACACTAGCCATGATGGTGTATGTAGGTAAAGTTTAACCCAGATGAATATCAATCACATGTTTTTATATAAATGATTAAAAAAATCCTGATTATTTTTATTTTATTTTATTTTCTCAAAAGACACTGTGGCCAGGTTGGCCTTTTACAAGCATCTTAACAGGAAATCAAAACAAATGAACAAACAAACAAAAACAGGATGCGAGCTAAGAAAGAAAATTAATTAACAACAAATATCGTTGAGTCTTAAGTTTTTTCCGTTTTTTTATATTTTTTCTGAAGATTTCTTAACTCGATATATTACGTAGATCGTTGTACAGACTATTCCAATAGAAGATTAATTGAAAGATCGGTGCAGATCTCCCCACCTCTAGTTTAACAATTGGAAGACTATATTCACGAATTATACGAGTATCTCGTGTTGATTTGCGACATTCACTTATACCAATTCCGAGGAAGCTATTTTCTTTTTTTCCCTTTATATATTTGAAGCCCTTCCAATAGAATCTGTTTCTTGTAAATATCACTAATTTTGTCAATATTTTCGGTGCGGTAGAGTTCGGATACTGATTCCATAAAGTTTAAATTATAAATTGAACGCATGTAACGATTTTGTGCTATCTGAAGTTTGTTAACAGCGTATAGACATGCGGTTCCCCATACAGCGATACCGTATCTTATTCTAGATTCGATGAAAGTGTGGTATCTTATTCTACATAAGATGCAAGTGTGGTATATTATTTGATTATTTTTAAATGATACAGTTTCTTAATATGCTTAATGGTTAACATATACCTAGGTAACTAAAATGGCAGCGTTTCCGACTGTTTGTGCTCTTGACTGATCCTTCTCAGATGGGAGCTGCCAGCAGGCCGCTGAGTGTTTAACATCACTAATTATTGATTCATGGTAGTTCTTGAACAAAGTAAAAGAAAAAAGGAAACGTCTACATTAGTGATGTTAAACACTAATTATTGATTCATGGTAGTTCTTGAACAAAGTAAAAGAAAAAAGGAAACGTCTACTAAAATTATAGTTAATCTAACCTAACCTAAACTAACCGAAGCGCCGCCATTTTAGTTACCTAGATAAATATTAACCCGCTTAACTTGTTCTTGGTTACTTCGGGTCAAACAAAGTAATGCTTTGTATACTTTTACAGCTTGCAGTGTATTGAATGAGACATACATTCCCCTAAAAATATTTTTTATATACTTGGAAAATACAAAAGTATTTGTAGCCTATCATCCTACAACTTATGTGCATTTTGGCAGTCAAAAAATACAAAGTTTTGGTACTATTGAGCTTAGACTATACTGAAAAATTTATTTGGTCCCTAAACATTTGAGTTGTTTATTAAAAATTGTTTAATTTAGCAAATTTAATAACATCAAACTGATTTTCTTAGCAGATTATAGTAAAATCAGAATGTACGTATTAACATATATGTACTGTACATTCTGTTGAAGTTTGGGTGTAAAACAAGAAACCTTCTACTAGGAAAACATTAGTCAAGAAGACATTATGCAGAGTATACTTGTTCAAATTTTTTTCTGTACTATCATAAATTAAGATATCAGTGTATGAAGTTACAATGCTTTTGTGATTTTCATGAGCATGTTACTCTTTTTATATTACAGTAGAACCTCGAAAACTCGGCCTAATGTGGACCGAAGGGTGGCCGAGTTTGTGAAAATGCCGGGTTATCGGGAATGGGGTTAAAAAAAATAAGTACGAGTGTTTCCTCAGAAAATACTGTACTGTACTTGTATGTATTGTTTACTTGAGAATATAACAGAGAATAAACTGCCCAAATACCCTTAAACAAAGGAAAAGTACGTCCTTTATGAAGGCATAGAGCCTTTACTACATGAAAATGAAAATTAATGAATACA